CGATTAATCGAAAAAATAATCGGCCGATTCATCGATTTTTAAAATAATCGTTAGTTGCAGCCCTAGCAGCAGCATCAAACTGGGCAGGAGGTCAAAGTGGACTCAGGTTGCTCGCGGCTTTACAAAGGGAAACCCTCACAAGGCTTAAAGTCCAGCCACCTCTCCTAAATAATTCATTTATAATTGTTGGATTTTATGACTTTTTGTGGTAAAAAAGAAAAAAATTAATATTTGTCTTTGTTTTTCTTTAGACATTACAGAAATGGGTCGATGTGCTAAAACCTACTGTGAACACACTGCGAGGAGCGTCCCGACGCTCTCTGACACTGTGGTGACTCTCATCGAGATGGGTACGACCAGAAGTCCGCTGGCGAATGCCGTCCATGTTGTTGCTGTCAGACTCACATCTGATTCTAAATGGTTTGTGTTTCTAAAGGTTTCAATGTTGACACCCTGCCTGTGTACGCCAAGCGGTCTCAGAGGATGGTCATTACGGCGCGTAAGTAAAGCGTTCTGCCACACCTTTCAGTTCTCTGTCAGGAAGTCGTTTATTTTAAATATTTTTATATAGGTTTCTCTGTAATACTGTGTGCGTTTGTGAATTTTTAAATGTAGATAAACCAATTTGCATCAATTTGATATTTTTTAACTGTTCTCTCTTGTTATCACATTCAAACATTAACAAGTTTAACAGTTATGGATACAAGTTACACATTTGCAAAAAATTTTAATAGGAATCACACATTTACAAATAAGCTCCGTCCCACTTAAACCAGCTAGCAGTTGCCATTTGGTTCCCTCCTAATTGGCAATAAAAGCTGGTCTAACCCCTCGCTGGCAATGAATGTCAATGTAATAACAAGAAACGCCAACTTACCTGAATATATTAAGAAAAATAACAAAAGTGCTTCTATAAGAAATTCGAGAAAAACACTCTGAGAGTGAAAGAAAAACATTTTTTGGTCCAACTTAACCTTAGAGGCATTAATGCTGATACTGGCACTGACATTTTTTATTGTATTTACCTAAATATAATTGTTAACTAGGCTTATTAACTTTTAAACTTTACTTTTTAACTTTTAAACTAGCTTTTTCCCCATTTGTTAGGGGTATGCAAGTGATCAAACGATGCTAACTTGCCCTATAAAGGGTTAATTGATTCTAAATTGTATAAAATGGATCAACTTTCTGACTTTCAGCTCCGGTTACCAATGCTCCCGTTACGCCCAAGTCTCTGTCTGCCGGACAGAAACGGACTCATCCGTCTCACATTCCCTGCCACTTCCCAGAGTTCCCCGATCCTCACACCTACATCAAAACGCCTGTGAGTCACAAACCAGATTCCTGGAACAAAACAAATGACTTTGTTGGTCTCTCTGAGGGAAACTGTACCGATCTGTGTGTTGATTTGTTGCAGACGTTCAGGGAGCCCGTCTCAGACTACCAGGTGGTGAGAGAAAAGGCAGCCACCCAGAGGAGAGACGTGGAACGAGCCCTGACGCGTTTCATGGCCAAAACCGGAGAAACTCAAAGCCTCTTCAAAGACGACGTCTCTGCGTTTCCATGTTAGTGATGCTGATGATGCTGAACTCTGTGTAACCTTCCACAGTGTAACATCCCCTGTCTCTGCTCTCAGTGATCGCTGCGCGGCCCAGTGCCATCCCGTACCTTAGCGCCCTCCTTCCCTCAGAGCTGGAACTGCAGAGTCTGGAGGAGACGGACTCCTCGGAGCAGGACGACCAGACGGACAGCGAGAACGCAGCCGGGAACGTTATCAATGTAGGTCCTCACCTCTGGCGTCAGATGACACTTCTCCTGGATTTTAGTTTGAGGCATTTTTTATTTTTTTTTTAAGAGAATAGTTTCTCTTCCACTTTTGTTCTCGTACAGGGTTCCTGCGGGTCCTTAAAAAGTCTTAAAAGGCCTTAATTGGTATT